CTCGCGGGGCGACGCGCGCGCGAGGCTGTCGCCGTCGTCGCCGTCGAGGCTGTCGCCGTCGCTCGGCGACGACGAGTCGTCGTCGTCGTGGCCGACGCGGCGCGGCGGCCAGGGCGCCCGCGGCGCCCTCTGCCGCGGCGGCGACCCGACGACGGGCCAGGCGCCGGGTCGCGGCCGCCGCGGCGGCGACGGCGACTCATCGAAGTACTCGCCGAAGGAGCCGGAGAGGCTCGGGCCGTCGGTGGCGCCGGACCGGGACCGGAGCGTGCCGCCGCTGCGCACGGGCCAGGGCGCCGACGCCGGCGGCAGCCGCGCGAGGCACGAGGCCATCTCGTAGGGGTTCGAGCGCGACCGCGGCGGCGGGCCGGACCGGCCGTCGCGCCGCTGCCACTGGTTGAGCCCCTCGGAACGCTGGAGCGGCGACAACCCTGGCGACACGCGGATGGGACTCGTCGACATCTGCTGGTCGTGCGAGAACTGGAAGGACCGCCGCATGGTCCAGCGCATGCCGATCATGTGCAATTGCAACGCGGGCTGCCGACGACGGTGGCACGAGCGGCGATCCAGATCCTCGTGTCAAAGCGCGCTTACAGAATCTAAAAGTTCTTCTAGCCGCTCGGAACTTCAAGCCACGGCTTTTTATCAGTGACCCAGAACCACAAAATGACCGAAAACCTCAATCATTCGAAAAGCCAGCTGCTCTTTGTTGTAGTTTGGGGAGCTGCGGTCAAACGGATCGGAAGCAACAGGACTGCAAGCTCGTGCATAAGGACTTTGTTGAAGGACTCGCAAAACGAGCTGAGCCACAGGGGAGCATGCCTCCGAGATCGTGCAACATGAAATCCTGGCGCAGCATCCTCGCGCTGCTCTGCGCCGCAGCGCCGACGTCGGCGCTCAAGAACGTCGTCGTGCTCGGCTCCGGCGACCCCTGGCTCAGCCTCTGCACGGCCAAGACGGCGTCGGCCCGCGGCCTGCCGGCGACCTGCGTGTCCAACAACGAGCCCGAGGCGTTGAAGATGCTCTGGGGCAAGGGCTTCGACGGCGCGTCGCCCGTCAAGGTCGTCAACGGCCCGGACGCCAT